TTAGGGCTTCTGCATCGAGGCTTGAGGTGTGCTAGGCAGGAGCAGGCCACACCGGAATCGTAGCCAAGTCGGTAGCATTGCCAAGTTGGTAGCTGCGCCGAAGCTCTGTTTCTGAACTCATGGACAAGTGAAACTGTCGTCAGACCCCAAACCCCAAACCCCAAACCGCAAACCGAAAACCCGAAACCCTAAAGCCTAAATCGCAAACCCTAAGCTCCAAACCCCAAACCCTAAATCTTAGCCAGTATTCAGCTTTTCGTCGTGTGACTCTTGCCGTTTTGCGCAGCGGCCAGGCTCATTGGAGCAAGATGATCCTTGGATGAATTACACAGAAATAGTTCCACTGTACTACTGCTACCATGAGATTGCCACATCATCCAAAATGTCGCCACAAGACGGTTTTTGCCAAGTCCTGAGATGGACCTTGTTGTCTAAGCGGTTTTCGTTTTGAGGGTTTAGGGTTTAGGGAATGATAGGGGTCGCCTGAAAAGAAGGAGCCCGAAAGAGATCATGAGTTAAAGAAGTGACCAAATCAGGTCTTCCTGTATAATAGGTCGCCTTTGTCGCAGGACTTGTAAAGAAGGACCTCACCCTAAAGCCACATCCGAAAACCCCCACCCTACTTCTAGAATCTAGAACAACTCGCAGATGACCCTAAACCCCAAACTGGAAAACCCAAACCCTCGACCCTAAACCCTAAAACCCTAAGACTAAACCCTGAGCCCTAAAACCCTAAACCCTAAAACCCTAAACCCTAAAACCCTAAACCCTCAAACCCAAACCCTCGACCCTAAAACCCTTGAACCCTTAAACTCTTAGACCCTAACCCTAAACCCAAACTTTGCGAACTCCCAGCAGACGGCAGGTTCGACCTGGCACTTGAGCTCACGAGCGCGCAGGCGCGGCAGATCTTCACCGAGTTTGTCCCATCCGCCGCTTTCCTGCAGGGCTTTAGGGTTTGGGGGTTTAGGGGCTTAGGGGTTTAGGGGTTTAGCGGTTTAGGGGGTTAGGGGTATGCAGGGTTGAGACAGCACTTGGAACGGGTTGAAGGCCTCATCTTCCGTGCAGCACCAGAACTGGTGCCAGTGGCATGGCCACTTCTGCTGACCGAATTCTTTCTTACAACCCTGTCTGTTGCATTTGATCTACGGGAGTGCCTAAAGAACTTAGCTGCACCATGATGACCAGGAAGACCAGAAAGCCGTCGAGCCTTGAAGTCCGTCGTATCATATCGGATCCAGCACTTGGAGGTTCATGGGTAATTATGCGTGGGATTGTGAGTAGGGTAGCTATGGTTATATCCTTATGTAGGTCGCTTAGAACCCTACAAATAAGTACCCATGAACCTCCAAGCAGGGAGTGAAGCCCGCCCCCCCCCCCCCAGCCCATCGTGAATGTTCAGCTGCAAGACGCACGCTGCAGCTCAGGTGAACCGCACCTCGCATCACAGCCGCCCGCTCTACCAGCTGTGGAGGGTTGTGAGCCGGGAGTCGGAAGAGACCCTCGTCAAGGACATTCTCGCGGCATGGACAACGGCACATGAAGCAGGGTTTATATTGCTGTTTTTGGTGAGTGTATATAAGGTTCCTTTTCAATATTGGTGATATAAACCCTACTGCACATGATGATTAGAAGTCTCCGTTCCCAACATCCTAGGGCACGAGCCCTCTTGAAATATGGAAGACCATCGCTCCACAATGTAAGCTCGGAGCTTCCGTGTAAGATGCCCTGGGCTGCAGGACATTACATGTGGAGATGGTATCAGCAGACTCCCCAGCTTACACATGGTTTGATGTGTCGTGGCCTTTCCAAGTGGTGTCGCACTTCCCTGTGTGCTGCTTATTGCGGCACCAGTTATCTCTAACCTCTAAACCCTAACCCTAGAAACCCTAAACCCTAAACCCCCCTGAACCCAGAAAATCTAGAAACCCTTGAAACCCTAGAAACCCTAGAAATCCTAAACCCTAAAGACCCTACGCCCCAAACCCTGGAAATGCTGCAGCTGAGATTGGATCCTCCACTTCGCGTCCAGCCAGCTGGGAGTGCGGGTCAAAGCTGGCTTCGAGCTGAAGTTCACCTCCATCGTCTTTCACGCAGACAGGCTTTGGCTTTAGGGTTTAGGGTTTAGGGTTTAGGGTTTGGGGTTTAGGGTTTAGGGTGTAGAGGGCTGGGATCCGGCCTTTCGAAACTGCATGGCGCGCGAAAGAGAGAGAGAGAGAGAGAGAGAGAGAGAGAGAGAGAGAGACAGAGAGAGAGAGGGAGGGAGGGAGGGAGGGAGGGAGGGAGGGAGGGAGGGAGGGAGGGAGCGAGGTAGCTTGTGGGTCTCCATTCTCACCAGTCGTCGAAAAGCGGGTGACCTAGACCCGAACTGGACGAACCACCGGGCCGTCGCGGCCGGGTTCCTAAACCCTAAACCCTAAACCCTAAACCCTAAACCCTACACCCTAAACCCTAAACGGCACTAAAGCGCGCAGAAGAAGAAGCAGAAGAAGAAGAAGAAGAAGAAGAGGAGCAAGAAGAAGAAGAAGAAGAAGAAGAAGAAGGTGAGTTGTGTGTCTGCGTGCCTGCGCGTCTGTACCTGTGTCTGAGTTTGTGTCTCTCTGTGCTCGTGGGTGTGCGCGCATGTGGTTGTTCTTACGGGTGTTTCCTGACCAGGCTGGATCAAGTTGACGTTGGTGGTGAGCAGTGGCCGGACGTGGTCAAGTACTTTCGCGGCCACTCATTCAAATTGAACCACCGGAGTAATCCCTTCCCCCCAATACTAACCCCCCCCCCCCCCTAGCCCTGACATCCCCCCATATACTCTATCTAGTATGACTATAATGGGAGTATTTTGTAAGGGGTGTTCAATATTAGGGGGAGGGGATTATGTACCAAGTCTGAGCAGCTGCTAAACACACCTACAAGGCAGGCCCTTGGGGGGGGGGGGGGGGGGGGCATTTTACATTCTCCCTTACTGGGTTTAAGATCATCTTCGGGAATATGTTTGAGAAGGTTTTCAGGGCCATCCTGGGCTGGTAGCCAACATGTGCGTCCGTCCACCTCCAAGTCCCCATTCCTGCAACTTCCGCAACAAGCAATTTCCGCACAAGGCCCCGTGCTGAAGTGGGTTTAGGGTTTAGGGTTTGGGGTTCAGGGTTTAGGGTTTAGGGTTCTAAGGCATGATCCACGTCACCGCCTCCCAGCAGACTGCGCTGGAGCGGTTGTTGGACATGCTGCTACTGCTGCCGGTGCACTACGTCTACGACGGGAACGCCAAGGCTTAGGGTTTAGGGTTGAGGGTTTAGGGTTTCCTTTTCCGAGTAGACCGGGTCCCATGTTCAATCCCCCTCCCCTAATAGTCAGCCTCCCCCTAGCCCCCCCCTAGCCCCTAATGTTAAACACCCCCCATCTACCCCAATATAACTATAATTGGAGTCTTTAATATTGGGGGGTTTAGGGGGGTTGGTCGTATTATGGGGGTGGGGGGGACTAGGCTCCCGAAGCATGGCAGCTCATGACTTTCGGATACCCCATGGCACCATGGCACACGCTGGCTCAAAAGGTCGCTTGCGAAGACCCTCTCCCTCAAGTTTGTCCACAGATATCAACCCTAAACCCTAAACCCTAAACCCTAAACCCTAAACCCTAAACCCTAAACCCTAAACCCTAAACCCTCAAGTCACTGCGATCCGTTTTAAAAAACCCACACGAAGCCGATGCAGAGCGAGTTGAAGGCCGGGCTCTGGGCGCATGAGAAGGCGCTCCTTGAGTCGGGGCTCCTGACCGAGGTCTCCCACCGAGGAGCCAGCTCCATCCTTCTGCAGCTAGTCTTGAACCTGGTTTTTGAGGGTTTAGGGTTTAGGGTTTAGGGCTTCTAGGACTTGGAGTAGGGCATATCATTTCCTTTTTTAGGGTTGGGGTTCCCTTAGAGTATCCCCTTAAATCGAAGAAGGGTACCCTTTTTTTATTCCTAGGTGACCCCCCTGGGTCTCTAGGACTTGGAGCAGGGCATACCATTTCCTTTTTTATGAGTTGGGGTTCCCTTCTTCTCAGTTCCCTTGCAACCAAAAAAGGGTACGCTTTTTTCTTCCTAACTTACTCCTGGGTCTAGGCAGGCTCCATGCCTTGGATGCCTCGAGCCGCCTTCGCTGCCACCGGAGGAGGAAGGCGGCCCTGCGGAGGAGGAAGGGGAGCCAGGGGAGGTGGGGGCTTCCAAAAAAAAGGCGGTGCATTTTCTCTTTCTTTTTTTGGGGGGGGGGGGGGGGGAGTTCCTAATACAAGGATTCTAGGATTCTACGATTTTGGGGGGGCAGAAGAGTTCCCCTGTTTGGGGCAAATGGCAAATATGCAGGTGGAGGATCTGGTGAGGATCTACCGGCACATGACCGACAGGGAGTGCTCCTTCTTGAGGGAATGCGGCACGCTGCCCAACACCCAGCCTTACCAGACCATTGTTGAAGGGGATGAGGGCTTCGAGTATTGCAAGAAGTACCTTGACCTTCTTCTGGCTGGCTCTTAGGACTTTAATCTTCTGGTTTTTGATAAAAAAAAGCTAAGGAGCCTAGAGGTTAAACTGTTAGGAGGGGTTCAGAAGTCAGCCAAGGTACTTCTGCGGCAAGAAGAAGGTCTCTCCGCCAGTGTCATCGATTGTGGAGTTCATGTGCCCCCGCGTGCTGGTGGACAGGCTTTTTGCCATGCAGTGGAAGATCGAAGATGGGGCTCGATCCCATGGCCTGGGTGACAAAGGCGGCAAAGGGCTGCCCCTAGGTAGGCCCACTTGGGATGATTTTGCAATTTCCCCTTTATCGGGGTTTAGGGTTTAGGGTTTAGGGTTTAGGGTTTAGGGTTCAGGGTTCAGGGTTCAGGGTTCAGGGTTCTCATGGTTCAGAGGATCCTGTTCGGGAATCTTTTTCGGAGGGTTCTAAGGGCCATCGTAGCCTAGGCCCCTCTTCAACGAAGCCTTGGAATCCGGGGCGATCTCGTGGCGCATCGTCTTTGTCAAGCGCCCTCGAAAGTGA